GAAATTAATGTGCTTAATAATTGATATGGTCCCTAGATTGCCTCACCTTACCGGTTAATTATGTATGATTGGGGGTCACTTTCTTGGGGATGGGGACACATCCTATTGTATAATTTTGCCACCTAGTCTGTAAGATAGCATTTTGTCGGAGCTTGAGTCCTTTAGAAGGCTCCAAAAAGGAAAAAACAGTGGATGGGTGAAAAATGGCTTTACTTGGGTATGGTTTTTCTACATGCTATAATTGACTAATTGAATATAATTAAGGGTCTTTTTAGTTGTGGTTTAAAAAGACAAGTTAAATGAATAGCTTTCAGGTGGAAATGGTTTGTTTTTAAATATTAAAGCGTTTGAATTTATTGGTTGGGGTTTTAAATTCTATTAATGTCCTGAGAAAAATCTCCCTTTCTCAAATTGTAAATTGTTAAAAAAAAAAAAAGATAGGTTAAATGTATATTTTTTTGTTATAAATATAAAAAAATATATAAAAATTAATATTAATTTTAGTATTATTATCAAATGAATGAATTCAATTAAATGTTAATAAATTATTAAAAGTTAGTTTTTATTTTTTAATATAAATTTATCACAAAAGTATATTTATTACACTTTAAAGATGTAAATTAGTCCTAAATGTATATTTATTGTATCTTTTTATTATTAATTTACATGAAAAATTACGAAATTAAAATTTATTTTTAATACTATAGTCATATGAAATAATTTAATTAGATGATTAATAAACTAAAGTCAACTTTTATTTTTTTTTTATGTAAATTAAAGGTAAAAAATATAATAAATACATTTTTAACTGGTATTATAAGAGTACATGTTAAAAAACTCTATTAAAATAATCCTCTAATTAAATATAATGGAAGGACAATATAATTGCTTAAGAAATTTTAATTTTTTAAACAATAATTAAATATAATTGGGAGAACAATATAATTTCTTAATTGCAATTTGCATCTGTCAAAAATTAAAAAAAAAAAAAAAGAATTAAATTTAAGATGGTGTTCTTAAAAGCAAAAAAAAGTTGTGCCCTCAATTGATATATTTGTCGTTCTTTCATCATATTATCTTACCAATATCTAATATACTACCTGATTGATTAAAAAAAAAGTTCCTGGGTTTTTAATTTAATATTTAAGATGAAGAAATTGGATGAGCTTGAACATTTAAGATTGAAGAAATTGGGCTTCCTTGGAGGCCGATAAGGAAATAGGCTGAAAGTATGACAAGATTGAAGAGAAATTAGGGGACATATTCTTAAGTTGGATTCGAGTATTCATCTGAGTCAGAAGACTAAGTGCACTTATAGATTGTGATTAAAATATAGCACCTACCAAATCATATAATAATGTATTCTCACATTACTTTGCCAAATGTGATCATCTACGCATCTTTTCCTAAACTTATATTGACTGGAATTCACAACTTTTACTATTATAAAAAACCTAACTTTCACAATGAATAACTGGTGAGTTTACACCTGCACTGCAAATTTGTATAGAAAACACTTATGTTCTTATCCTATTATGTATCTATCTGCCTTTCAAAAAAATAAAATAAAAATTAAAAAATGTCTCTATCCTTCTTCTCCTCCCAACTTCTTGGAAATTGGTAGTCTTGAATATTCTCTTATAATTACAATGCTAGAGTAGAATGTATGGATGGTCTTTTCTTCTTATATCCTTCCTCCACCTCAACAAAACAAAATGGGAAAAATGGAAAAAGAGGGGTTGAGTTGAATAATCAGAAGCATCTTTGGTTTTCTTTCTACTGGGAGGTACCTAATCTTGACAGCTTCTGGGTACTTTTCATCTGATGCAAGCATCATTTTGGGCAGAGTTTTCTTCCATTAATTGTTGTGTAAAATCTTGGGAAATTAGTATTTATTAATAGAGAAGATTTGAGTGGAATATAAGCTTTGCTAGCAAAGATTATTGCTTTCCCAAAACCCAACAAATCTAGCATTAATTATTGGGTATTATAGATAATAGTATAATACCATCCATCTTCTCTATACATTCATAAACACCCTGGAAGAACAAAAATGATTGCAATTCTTCCCTTCTCTTTATTTTATTTTATCCTTTTTTTCCTTTTTCATCTATCCTCCTATGTAAGAAAAATTGTTCGACTTTTAATTAAATCAATGAGGTTTTATAATGAGAATTTTTTTTTTTTTGGGGGTGAAATCTTACTCCAAACTGATATTTTAAAGTGCAATCCAATCTAAAAAAAAATATTTCTGTTTTATAATTCTCTTGGAGTGAGTATTAAGGGAGAGAAAATAAAGGGTTTTTTTTTTCCCCTTTTGTTTTCTAAGTCATGACTTGCACTTGAGTAGCTCTGAAGAACATTGTGCCATTGCTGTTACTGCTGTATCTCCTGCAGAAGACAAACATTATCATGGAATAATTTTTGGTCAAATAGATTTGGTACCATGCTTATCCAAAAATTAAAAAAATAAAGGAAAAAGATTTGGTAACACAATTGAGCTAATTAAACTTGACAACTGTTAATACAACTGAGTTGTTATGGAATAAAATTGACAAGGTCTTTTTCATGAAAGCAATCAAGAACCAGAAGACAAGTGAATTTCATGCATTCACAATATTGATGCGATTTTCAATCTTAATAATGTAATAACCTAAACTAATTTCTCCCTTGAGTGGGTGAGACTTGAGGGGTAAAACTAGAGTTGGTTTGACCTTATGACTAGAGTTTTTATTTTTTAAAGCTCTATTTCATAATCTGGAGTTACCAAGTCATAGTTTTAGATTTTAAAAAAGTCAAAATGACCTAATATTATAATTTCTATAACAAAAAAAAATAATAATAATAAACTGTTTTAAAAATTAGATCAATCGATTTTTTTGTTATGAATGCATATAAAGTGATTTGAGATATTATAATGTCTCCTAATTTACTTTGACTGGTCAAGTTTTTCTTACTTCATGTGAATTCATGGCTCATGGGCCATGTCCAAAACCAAAAAAAAAATCTAAATAAATGGCTGGAATTTGAGTATGCTTCTATATTCTAGTGAAGGCATCTCCCAAAAAAACGAGTTGTTCCCAAGGACAAAACTGGCCAGCTGGGACCAAGGATGGAAAGGAATCTCAATTCCATCAACTCTTATTATTTTCCCTTTCCCTTTTTTGGCTTTACACAAATTCAAAAGGAAGACTTTTGTTCCATGAAAAAACAGTTAAGAAGGACATACCCTTCATGCTTTTCTATTGAATAAGGGGTTTAGTCACCATTTATTATTCCACACACCCTTCATGCTTCTTCTACTCAATCATGAATCTCCCCTCTAAAACAGCATCCTTCCTTTTATTAAATGCCTGGATGAACTGGCAGTAGCATCTTTTGCCTCACCCCTTGAGCTATAAATTTCTTTTTCTGCCACCCTTTTGAGAACTTTTAAGTCTCTAAACTTTCTTAAGTTTGGATTGTTCTAGTTTCTTTACTCAGATTTTACTTCTCACAAAATGGGAAGAAAGCCATGTTGTGACAAGGTTGGATTGAAACGAGGTCCATGGACAATCGAGGAGGATCATAAGCTCATGAATTTTATCCTCAACAATGGTATTCATTGCTGGAGAACTGTTCCAAAGCTTGCTGGTAATTAATGATCAATTGCCTACATTAATTCTTGAAATGATCTACTCTACTCTTGTTGTGTTTAATTGTGTGACTTGAAAATGTTAGTGATCAACCATGTGTTTGATGCAGGGCTTCTGAGGTGTGGGAAGAGCTGCAGATTAAGATGGATTAATTATCTTAGACCTGACCTTAAGAGAGGTGGTTTTTCAGAAACAGAGGAGGATCAGATCATTCAGCTTCACGCGCAATTAGGAAACAGGTAATCTAGCCTTCTCTTCACTGTTTAGATTGTCAAAAACATCATGAAACAATGTCATAATTTATATAGTTCAATATGGTACTGATGTACTGACTTGGAGGGAAAAAAAAATAATAATAATCTGTAGGTGGTCTAAGATAGCATCACATTTTCCTGGTCGAACGGATAATGAAATCAAGAACCATTGGAATACAAGAATCAAGAAGAAGCTAAAGTTGCTTGGAATAGACCCTGTAACACACAAGCCTATAGAACAAGCAGAGGAAAAAGGGACTAAGGTTGAGTTGAATTCTTCTAGCAAAGAAGAGAGCTTGGAGGTCAAGGCACAGGATGACCAAGGCAAGAAACAGGAAATTCAAGAACCAAACTTGGATGAAACCAATGATCTTTTAAGCAACTTTGAGATGATGCTGGGTGGGAATTTTGATTTGGAGCAATGGTTGGAACAAGAAACAAACACTTGTTCTTCTCACACTTCTTCATTTTCCCTTGAAGAATCGAACTCGAACAACCCTTCAACAATGGATGATCAATTTCCTTCAATTCAACAGGACCCTCTGCAACAATGGGTTGAAAGTGTGGATTCTTTCCTCTCTTGGGACTGTTTCAATCAACTAGCTGAAGAAAACATTTTCCTCTTGGGAAAATAGCTTGATCAACTTTCCGAACATACCCTTTTCTGCATTGTTGAGAAATAAAATCTTTAGAAAAAGATATCACATTATGATTGTGATTAAGTGCAATCGAATTAAACACTAAAAGCTTCTTCTCTCTTTTATCTCTGCTTATTGCTTTGTATTCAATCTTTGAAAAATTTGTACTTCTATCATATTGTTTTTCATTTAATTACGTTGATTTATCTTCACTCTTTTTATAAAGAGTATCATATATGATATAGTTGTAAAAAATTTATGATAAATTACTTTTTCAATAACTTATTAAAAGAATCAAATAAAAATTAATTAAAAGTAAAGGAAATCTTCTTATTACCTAATCGACCGTGTTTTAGCTATATATATAAATATATATCTTTTTGTTCGTATTTTTTAGTTATAAATTATATTAGTTAGTTAAATATTGATTAATTTTGTGGCGTGGAATTTTTTTTGAGGCTGCTGCTCGTGCTTAGCACTGAAGATTAGTGGATTCTCTTGAGTTGTATATTACTCTAGTTAGTACATGCATTTCTGTGGGACAGAACACCATAATCTTGTCCAGGAAAAAGTATATTCCTTTCATAACGAGAAATAAAAAAGCTATAACTTGAGAGAATTAAAAAAAGGAAGGCATTTTTTAGGTTGAAAATAAATCAAGATTGAATCAAAATTCTTTCTTAAAAATTATTATGTAATTCGAATTCAGATAATTTTTTTTTAAAAAAGAATTTAAATAAGTAATATATTTTGACTAATGATTTAAGTAATTCAGTGATTATTTCTTTTCATTAAATATAAAAAGTTTTGAGTTCAAATCACATGATATACGAGTAAGATGGAGTAAAAAATAAAAGATGATTATCTCTTATTATGTAATCAATATCAAAAAAAAAAAAAAAGATATATTTTGA